GCCGCCCGCAGCTCTTCGGACAACTCGGTCAACTGGGGCTCGAGGCCGTGGGGCCGAGCTTCGCAAGCTTCACAACCACCACCACCTCCAGCGCTTTGGCCATCTTCACGATGTGATGCGGCCGCCAAGGGCTCGTAACTATCAGGCATGCTGCTGGGCAACCTGGATGCCCCGTGGGCGAAGCTCCGCTAGCGTGCTGGAGGGGGCAAGCGCGCAAACCCATCTCAGAAGCTTGCACCAAAATGGCTACGGATCGGAGGCCCAGCACCATCTTCAAAGCAACACGAGGCGAAACCGATTCTTGAGTGCAAGACTTGTGGGGAGGGGTGGGGTGGGGTGGGGTGGGGTGGGGTGGGGTGGGGTGGGGGCGGGCGGGCCGGGCGGGCCGGCGGGGCGGGGCGGGCCGGCCGGGCGGGTCGGGCAATGGGGCGGGCGGGGCTGGTCGGGCGGACGGGCGGGCGGCGGAGGGCGGGTCCGGGCCCCCCCTCCCCACCCCACCACCGCCCCCCCTCCCCCCGAGGGGGGGGGGTTGGGGAAGGGGGGGTGGGGCGGGGTGGGGGGTGGGGGGGTGGGGTGGGCTGGGGTGGGCTGGGGTGGGGTGGGTGGGGTGGGGTGGGCTGGGTGGGCCTGGGTGGGCGGGGGTTGGGGTGGGGTGGGGTGGGGGGCGGGGTGGGGTGGGGTGGGGTGGGGGGGTTGGGGTGGGTGGGGTGGGGTGGTGGGGTGGGGTGGGGTGGGGGGGGGGGCTCGGTCCGGGCGGGTCCGGACGGGCGGCGGGCGAGCGGAGGCTTTGTCACCGACCCCATCCCGCCGACCCCACCCAACCCAACCCACCCAACCCCCACCCCACCCCACCCCCCCATCCCACCCCACCCCACCCCACCTACTTCTCCGCATCCTCCTTCTCGTCCTCGTCCTCCTCGTTCTGCTCCTCCTCCATCTCCCCCTTCCCTCCCTCTCCATCCTTCCCCTCACCGCGGCCCTCCCTCCTCTTTGATGTATGCTTACGGGTGCTATTCTGAACAGATTCCAAAGCAGTGCTTGCAATCAGGGGCTCTGCCTTGGGCTGCCCTAATTATTGGATGGGTGTGGCAGGGATTCGCCGGGTGCCCATCTGCTGGCCTGATCCTCCTCCTCCTCCTCCTCCTCCTCCTCCTCCTCCTCCTCCTCCTCCTCCTCCTCCTCCTCCTCTCGGGTCGGGCGAAAGGGGGGGATAGCAAAGGGGGGGTTTGAGAATCAGCTCGCGTAGCTGATTTTCCGGGCGCCTCCCGGCGCCGCAGGCGGCTATGTATCGAGGAATGGGCCCCTCGGCGAGGCCGAAACCAGCTGCATGCAGCAAGTTTCGCAACCCCCCCTTTCCCAATCCCCCCTTTCGTTCGGCCCGATCCTCCTCCTCCTCCTCCTCTTCCTCCTCTTCCTCCCTCCTCCTCCACCGTCGGGCTTCCTCCCCCCCCTCCTCCTCCTCCTCCTCCTCCTCCTCCTCCTCCTCCTCCTCCTCCTCCTCCTCCTCCCCCTCCTCCTCCATCCCAGCTGATCGCGCCTGCCGCAGCCGCGGGCGGCGGGCCCCCGAGCAGGCTCTGGCCGTCCAGGGCGGGGGCCGAGCCGCCTTCCAGGAAGCGGGGAGGGCGGCCCAGGCCGGGCGACCGTCGGGTCGCGCACGAAGGGCGGCTCGTGGACGACTACGGACGACGGACGACGCACGACTGACGACGACGGACGGCGACGGCGGACGGCGGACGGCGGACGGCGGACGGCGGACGGCGACGGACGACGGACGACGGACGACGGACGACGGACGACGGACGACGGGCGACGGGAGACGGACGACGGACGACGGACGACGGACGACGGACGACGGACGACGGCGACGGCGACGACGACGACGACGACGACGACGACGACGACGACGACGACGACGACGACGACGACGGACGACGCACGACGGACGACGACGACGACGGACGACGGACGACGGACGACGACGACGACGACGACGACGACGACGACGACGACGACGACGACGACGACGACGACGACGACGACGACGACGGACGACGGACGACGGACGACGGCGGACGGCGGACGACGGACGGCGGACGACGGACGACGGGCGAAGGACACGACGGACGACAGACGACAGACGACAGACGATGGTGCACGACGGACGCCGCCTTCCTGGCACATGCGCCACGCCCTCGTCGTGCCCTCATGCGCGCACACGCGAAGGCGTCGTAAGCGTGGGTCCCATCGCAGCTAAGTCGATTCCCTCCCCTTTTGCCCCTCCCTGACGGGGGGAGGGAGGGGGTCCCGGGTCAGAATACCACCCCCCCCTGGGGCCCCGGCGTCCAGGGGGGTCCCAAGGGGGGGTCGCCAGCGGCGGTCCTGGGAGAGGTCCCGCCTTCAAGGTGGGCGGCACTGGCCGTACATCCGCGGACTCACTGGCTGGGCCCCTGGGCCGCGATCCGGCGAATACGTATCGTCTGTTTTCCCAAGCCGCGCCCTGCGCAGAGATTGCACCTGCGACAGCGTATCTGCGGGATCGCGCCCCGGAATCCAAACCGTGAGGGCGCGGATACGGTCGGCGTCGGGTCGCGCATGGGGCGAAACGTTAGCAGCAACGAGGAGGCAGGACGCTGAGCTGCAGCAGCTTTCGCACCCCCGAGAAGTTCGGCCGGACCTCCGAGAATTCTAGACGCTTCGCGTAACCCCACCAGCCCATCCAGAAACGATGCGGGGAAGGGAAGTGGGCAGCACACAGAGGAAGGGTCCCCCAGTGGAGGCCTCTTGGAGCGTCTTGGGGGCCTCTTGGCGGTTCCGGACGCCTCTTAGAGCGTCTTGGGTGCCTCGGAGAGCTCTTTGGGGCCTCTTGGGAGGCTCTTCGGGCCTCTTGGAAGCCTATGGGGCGCCAGTTGGGGCCTCCTGGGGCCTCCTGGGCGCCTCTCGGGGCCCTCCTGAAATGCTCCTAGGAGCCTTGGGAGCGTTCTTGGAGCCCTCTTGGGCCATCTTGGAGTCATCTTGAAGCCTCGAATGGTCATCCGAAGCGAAACAGCGAGAAAGCCCAACATATTATTTTTCCTTAGGTTTCGGGAAGATGTTGGCCTCTTCGGGGCCTCCTGGGGGAGCCCTTTGGCCACTTGGAACCGTCTTGAAGCGGTCTTGGGGCCTCTTGGAACATCGTGGGAGCCATCTTGAAGCATCTTGGGATATCTTGAGCCATCATGGAGGTCATCTTGGGCTTCCCCAGGCGCTCTTGGAGTCATCTGAAGCAGTGCCCCCCCAGGAAGCCCAAATGTGGCCAAAACCTTAGTAACATCAGTGATGTTGGCATTGTCGCCGAGCCTTTGGGGGGCCTCTTGGGGCCTCGTGGGGGTCTCTTGGGGGCCTTTGGGGGGCATCCTGGGTGCTTCTTGGGGCCACATGGGCCATTTAGGGTGGGGCCATCTCAAAGCCTCTTGGGGCCTCCTGGGCGCCTCTTGGGGTCATCTTGGAGGAGATCGATCACAGGAGGGAGGGGGGCGAAATTAGCCTCCCCCCTTCAGGAAGCCAAAATGGGACCAAAACCGTCGTAAAACCAATGATGTTGGCTTCCTCGCCGAAGCCGTTTTGGACGCTCCAACGCGTCGCGGACCCCCCCGTCCAGGTCCAGGGGAGGGGGTGGGGGGAGGGGTCAAGACTCCCTCCCCGCCCGCAAGCCGTTTCGCTCACCCCCACCCGCCCTCCCAACACATTCGTAGCACCCGAACCTGACCCGAGCCGCAGCATATTCAGCAGTCGTCTTTGGATGGGCAACACCTGGGGGCGAATCCGCCGCCGCCGCCGGCGCCGCCTCCGCCGCCTCCGCCGCCGCCGCCTGCCGCCGCCGCCGCCGCCGCGCCGCCGCCGCCGCCGCCGCTGTCCGCCGCCGCCGCGCCGCCCGCCGCCGCCGTCAGCCGCCGCTGCCGCCGCGCCGCCGCCGCCGCCGCCGCCGCCGCCGTCGCTCCCGCTGCCGAATCGCCGCCGCCGCAGCCGCTGCCGCCCGCAGCCGCTGCCGCCACTGCTGCCGCCGCCGCCGCCGCCACCGCCGCCGCCGCCGCCGTCGCCGCCGCCGCCGCCGCCCCCGCCGCCGCCGCCACCGCCGCCGCCACCGCCGCAGCCGCCGCAGCCGCTGCCCCCGCCGCAGCCGCCAAGTGTACTCTGTATTGTTTTTTGACAGGGATGGTGGGGGGAGACCGCATCGGGTTCGCTGTGCATGCTCCGAATTTGGAGGCAGAGTGTGTTTTGCACTGTTTTCACAAGGGATTGTGGGGGGGTGCCCGCATTGTCCCTGGTTGGCTCCCAGTCGCCAGGGGGAGGGGGTGTATATTAATAGGGAACAGTGATGAACAGTGATAAACCCCTCCCCGAATGGGAAGTAAGCGGGACAACATAAAAAAACACTCTAGACCACCTACGCCCAAAGGGCTGGTAGGATTTACGCTCACTACGCTCTTGCTTCTTCGATGCTAGGCTGAGCTGCAGCAACTTTCGTACCCCCCTCGTTCCAATCCCCCAACGTCGCCCGACCCGAAGATCGGGCTGGACGACACTGGGGTCAAAGCCGGGTCGGCGTCGGGTCGCTGGGTCGGTCGGGAGCGGTGTGGCTGGGAGAGCGGCCCAGCTGGTCGGCGTCGGGTCGCGCACGAGCAGACGCTCTTGTGCGATAATAATTGGGGCGATCGGCGCAATCCTAACGTAAACCCCCGCGTAGACGCAGGACACAGCGCGCCGCAGCCCCCGCGCTTCACGTGGACCACCTCGCCCTCGCACTGCGGGCAGGCTCGCCACACACAACGGCCGCCAGCCGTGGCGCCTCACTCCTCCTCCTCCTCCTCCTCCTCCTCCTCCTCCTCCTCCTCCTCCTCCCTCCTCCTCCTCCTCCCTCCTCCCTCCTCCTCCTCCTCCCTCCTCCCTCCTCCCTCCTCCCTCCTCCCTCCTCCTCCTCTGAGGGGCCACGTTAGGAGGCAGCCGGCTCCGGAAGGGAAGGCCTCGGCCTGGCACCGGCGACATAAGCGCCGTCGCCGGTGCATCGGCGGCGGGTCCCCGATGGCGAAGCCGAGCGCACCCGGGCGCGGCGGGCTACCCGGGCCCACCCGGGCTACCCGGGAGGAGGAGGAGGAGGAGGAGGAGGAGGAGG